AAACCCGACGATCAGCTGTTTTCTGATCATCGTAAAGCGAAATTTGGTTCCTGAAGCAGGGAACCAATCATCGTTAAACAAAAAAACCCATTTAAACCGTTTTGCTATCGCAAAAGCGATCGCAAAAACCTAATCGTACAGCGATTTCCTCATTAAGCGAGGCAATCGTTAAGCGAGGCACCACTGTATTAGCCATCCTGATTGATTCAGAGCAGAGATGGGGGTATTCATATTTGAATATGAATGTGAATACCCCCACACAGGTGGACATCACGAGGGTCCGATCCCCTGGGGTTGAACTGTCCACTCACCTGTCCGCTGCTGCTGCGGGCTCTGCACTCCCTTCCAGTCACTCCAGAGCTCGCACTTGACTAGCCACTCCTGGCAGAAGAAGGGAAGATGAGCCTCCCTGCCCGGCGGATGAGTAGCTCCTCAACCACGAGCAATTGGAAGGGAGCGCAGAGCCCCTGGCAGCAGCAGATAGGTGAGTGGACCGTCTAGCCCCAGGGGACTGGACCCTCGTGATGTCCACCCTCGTGATGTGGGGGTATTCACATTCATCTATGAATATGAATATCCCCATCTGTAATTCTGAGCGTTCTACTCTGAAAAAATAATTTATCCAAATGCTGACTGCCCTTCAACAAATGTTTTCCTCAAAGCTTAATTTACCTCAGAGCGTTACCCATATGTAAGTTACAGCTCCTTGAAGAACAGGTGAAGTAAAACAGAAGCAAATTATTTTTTACATATCTTGACCATTCCTAAGGGAGAGGTCTCAGCACTGTGGTTGAGTGCTACAAATTCGTGGCTAGCTTTTTAATCCGTGACAATGGCTTCTCCTCCACAGTGACTCAGCACTTTTCTTCACACGGGGAGAAGATCGAGTCGGGGGCCAATATTGGAAAGCTCATTATGTGCCCTACACCGATGGAAAGTTTACCAGAAAGAAAGAACAACCTGAAACGGCTGTCCATCTTGGCATACTTGGTATGTTGAGTTTTTTTCATGACTTCAGATTCTGTCTTGTCATTCCTGTCATGGATAGCCAACAGTAGACTCCTGATCTCAAGAGAAGAAGGTGAAGGCATAAGTGTTTGACAAACTGGGATTGACGTCCCTTCATGTACATCACACGGACCATTAATCTGATGCATTCATGCTATGTGTATAATAAATATATAGAAATATGTGAATTGCCTGATGAAGAAAGTGAAGAGGCTTTATTGCATTCATTATTAATTTAAAGGTGTTTAAAAAAAAGAATGACTTATTCATCTTCTGCTGTTTTCCAGGCCCAGTTATCAAAGCTGAAATTGGAGACACCATTTTGGTTACTTTTGCCAATAAAGCTGACAAGAACTACAGCATGATGCCCCATGGTGTTGCTTTCAGCAAATCCTCAGAAGGAGCCTCTTATGCTGATGGTAAGTTAGTGATGCTGCTTCCCATCTGCCTGCCTGCCTGCCTGCCTGTCACTAACATTTGGAACCCATCCATTTTCCACAGGGATCAAATGGCATACATAAAATGGTTTCAGAAAGCTACTTGATCTGAATATATGTTTGAACACTGAATTTTGACTCCTGGCTCTGCCCACCAGTGTTGTGTGACTTGCCAACTGCATAAAACAGCAAATACCACTGAGTTTAATAGCAGGATCTTGCTAGTGAAATTCTGCACTTTTTTCTTTTTGTATTCTAGTTATTGCATTGTGATTAGCAATTAATCAGCTCTTAACCAGTCCCCGCTGGGATTTGGGAGCATGTGTCAAACCACTGGATGAGTGCAAGCCTGAAATTTCAAGTGGGAATTTGTTAATTGCTAGTGAGAATCTATTGGAAAGGGCCTCTAAGGCCATCAAGTCCAATCCTCTGCTCAGTGCAGGAATCCAAATCAAAGCAAATCTGACAGAGGGTTGTCCAATTTTCTATTGAATGCCTCCAGCATTAAAGTGCTCACCACCTCCCAAGGTCATTGGTTCCATTGTTGTATGGCTCTGATAGCTACAAAGTTACCTTGTTTGCCTTCCACAGGCATAAACATGCAACAGGATTTTGCCCAGTAAGTAAGTTATAAAAATGCAGAAGCTTGGAAAATTATTTTCTTTTACTACATCTTCCAGGATCTTCCT